ATAAGGGGCGTCAGAATGCAAAAGTCGTCGATTCCGTTAACCAGCTTGCGTTGACACGGGAGCGTCCATACTTACAAGTGTTATGTGGGGTGATCCCGGGACATTGGTGGTACATAACTGAGAGCGATAACGACTGATAAGGGCTGATAAGGGGCGTCAGAATGCAAAAGTCGTCGATTCCGTTAACCAGCTTGCGTTGACACGGGAGCGTCCATACTTACAAGTGTTATGTGGGGTGATCCCGGGACATTGGTGGTACATAACTGAGAGCGATAACGACTGATAAGGGCTGATAAGGGGCGTCAGAACGCAAAAGTCGTCGATTCCGTTACCTAGCCCGCGTTGACACTAGAGCGTCCCTACTTACAAGTGTTATGTGGGGTGGTCCCGGGACATTGTTAATGGGTGATAGAAGGTGGTTGAAAGTTATTAGGACTGATAAGATCTGTCAGAACGCAAAAGTCGTCGGTTCCGTTACCGGCTCGCATTGACACCAGAGCATCCATACAAGTGTTATAAGGGACGGGACGGGGACATTGTTGATGGGTGATAGAAGGTGGTTACAACAGATAAGGACTGATAAGGGGCGTCAGAATGCAAAAGTCGTCGATTCCGTTACCTAGCCCGCGTTGACACTAGAGCGTCCCTACTTACAAGTGTTATGTGGGGTGGTCCCGGGACATTGTTAATGGGTGATAGAAGGTGGTTGAAAGTTATTAGGACTGATAAGATCTGTCAGAACGCAAAAGTCGTCGGTTCCGTTACCGGCTCGCATTGACACCAGAGCATCCATACAAGTGTTATAAGGGACGAGACGGGGACATTGTTGATGGGTGATAGAAGGTGGTTAAAACTGATAAGGACTGATAAGATCTGTCAGAACGCAAAAGTCGTCGGTTCCGTTACCGGCTCGCATTGACACCAGAGCATCCATACAAGTGTTATAAGGGACGAGACGGGGACATTGTTGATGGGTGATAGAAGGTGGTTACAACAGATAAGGACTGATAAGGGGCGTCAGAATGCAAAAGTCGTCGATTGCGTCACGTAACTCGCGTTGTCCTTCGAGCGTCCCTACTTACGAATTCTATTTGTGGTACGTGGTACGTGCACATTGTATCGATGTGACCAGCTTACTTGATAGAATTCGGTTGCATAAACTCAAACGAGTCTTCTGATAAGTTTGATTTCTAAAGCAATATCAAGAAAGCCCAAACTCATTGAACCGCTAATCCTTTCAGGGTTCTAAATAATGGTAAGTGTAAACAAATGATAAGCATTAATTCCTCACTCAATGTAAATAGGCATATTTCTTTTTCATTTCGAGACCGACAGCAAGAAAATCGGATTCAGTGCTAAATTATCTGAATTCAAGAAAAATGCTGGGTGTACAGTTGTGAGATAACTATGTACACGAATTAAGTTCCAGACGTTATCACGCGTATACTGGATGGACTTCAGCGTTTCAGCGATACTGGGAAAGGTCCGACACATTCAATAGTGAGGTGGCTAACGGAGCATCTCATGCTGATATTCCAGTAGTCACCCGGCTTTGATTTTTGGATGTGATATAGGGGGTGGGACGGAAACATGTTTGATGAGGACCGGAAAGTGATAGCAACTGATAGGGGCTGATAAGAAGCGTTGGAAGGAAAATGTCACTAAAGTGGTGAGAAAAAATATCATTTCTTGGCGATGTTGTCGTGATCCATTCGACCGCTAACCTGCCTGAATTTCTTAAATGGTTGGCATGTGTGGAAATACGATAACTATTGGCATTCCCATCTCATACGGAGTCATTCAATCGTTTAACCATCCCAATGTCTGAAGCATGGTACAAGATGCGTTAGAGCGCAATGATCGTCGGTTTCGCTACCCAGCTCGCGTTGGTACAAGAGCATCCACACTTACAAGTGTTACGTGGGATGGGACGGGGACATGGTTGGTGGGTGATTGGAAGTGGTTTCAACTGATAAGGGCTGATTAGGAGCGTCAAAACGCAAAAGTCGTCGATTCCGTTACCTGGCTAGCATTGACACCAGAGCAACCATACTTACAGGTGTTATAAGGGGTGGGACGGGAATATTGTTGCTGGGTGATGGAGAGTGGTTACAACTGATAAAGGCTGATAACGCGCGTCAGAAATCAGCTTGCGTAGCTTGCGCTGATTCTAGAAAGCCCCTACTTACAATTTCTATTTGCAGTGGTACGTGCACATTGTATCATTGTATGACCAGCGCACTTAGAAGCAGTCAATTGCATAATCTCAATCAAGTCTTCAGCAAATGATAAGTTTCACTTATATCACAAGAGCCCGAACTCATTAAACCGCTAATCCTTTCGGTGTTCTTAATAATGGTGAATGTAAATAAGAGATAAGCCTTAGCTCCTGACTTATGTAAACAGGCATATTTCTTTTTCATTTTGAGACTAACAGCAATCCTATTCACCGCTAAATTATCTGAATTCAAGAAGAATGGTGGATGTTTACAGCTGTGAGACAAATATGCCAGTTCAGCTCCAGAAGTTACCACGCGTATTCTTGACGGACTTCAGCGAAGCTGGGAGAGGTCTAACCCGTTCAATAGTGAGGTGGTTAATGGAGTACCACATGCTGATATTCCATGGGCCCTCCAGTTTCGCTAAAGCCTACCATGTGATGCGCGCGATAGCGAGCGGAGCAAAACTGGTGTATGTATATATGTGTGCCATGTTTTTGTATGTGTGTGTGTGCGTGCGTGTGTTGTGTGTGTGTTGTGTGTGTGCGTGTGTGCGCCTGTGTGCTGGTGTGTGTGTGTGCGTCTGTGTGTGGTGTGTGTGTGTTAGCACACTCAGTCTCATTCAACATGGTGCTCCCGTGGCAGCTGAATGAGCGGGAGGAACGGGGAAGGTGGAGGGGGTAGAGGGGTAGAGTGAAGGGAGCAAGAAAGGGAAGGGTGGAATGGAGGGGAGGGAAGGGGAGAGGAGAAATGAAGGGAGAACATGGTGCTGCCTGCGCTGGAGAGAAGGGGTGTAAGGAGGTATAACACATCCAATAGTGAGGTGGTTAATGGTTACGCAATGCTGCTATTTCGCGGTTCCTCCCTAAACTGTGATGCGCGCGATAGCGTGCGGAGCAGACCTGGTAATATATAATACCAATTGGCGCCGCACGCATTGCGCGCACAGCAGAGTTCTGCGGCGTTATATTATGGTGCGGTGTGAATTCTCGAATTTGGCCCATTGCACTCCGAATATTTGAATTTCAA